TCAGATTTTTAGGCTTATAATCCTCAACTGCTTTGCCTTAGCTAAATAAATCACACCAAAATTTTAAAAAAGAAACAATTTTTGAAGCTGTATTTAACATTACTTTTAAGTTTTTCTACATAAATCCGTAAATTCTTTGAAAAATAAGTCGTTGGTCTCATTGGTATGAAGAATATTGGAACGTTGTAGGTATGAAGAATATTGGACAAATTTAGCAAAAAATAAGTGTTCAATTTTTTGCTAAATTTGTCCAATATTCTTCATACATACAAGTTCAGTTTACTTAAAACAGTGCATTCAATGCAATTCAAAATTTTAGCTAATCATTAAAATCGTATAGCTTATTGTGCAGAAATGTTTATGCTTATCTTATCACAGAATGTTGACAATTTTTAATTCATTCTGTTTTCTTCGTCAGCTTGTTGTATTTAGAGCTTTACTAATTTTCCGTGCGTTTAATCTGAATGAACTGTTTCGCATAATTCTAGTAGTTTGCTCTTGAAGAAGACTTCAAATTTGCCTCTCAAATTGTTGATTCAACTGAATGTCAACCGAATGTTGAATTATTATTAATTTTGATTTCCGCGTACAACTCAAATGGTGGAAAATAATTTTCATTTTCTGAAATTGGTTTAACTTTTTTAAATTTAATTAAAGAATTTATGCTTTACCTACTTAACATTTTGTCATACAAATATAATTTATTTACCAGTGCGAAGTATTTCAACTAATAATCAGAAATATAAAGAGTTTCTAAATATTAATACTTTATCAGAATCTGATTATTCATTTAACTTTTTTTTGCACGCTGCCTTTTAAAGTCGGAGTTTTGATTTAAAAAAAAAAAAAAAAAAAAGGTAGGCAGTATAATTAGGCCTAGAGGAATACACAAGTAAAATTTTGTGAAGATAGCACTTATGGTTTCAATTCTGTTGGTGTGCCCAAAGTGGCACACTGATTGAATAGAGCTTCGAAAAGAGTACTGAAACGAGCATTGTTGTCAATGAACTGACCGATGAGATGCGGAGAAGCAAAGAATACAGGCTCTCAGTTGTCCTAGATTATCGGTGAGCCCGGTCTGGTCACACCTGAGGTTCGCCGTTTGATTTTAGGCAAGATTTCAAGGTAAAAATTTAAAACTAATATAGAATAAGGATATTAGAATACAGCCAAAAAATTAACATAGAAATTTTATTTCAAACAATTCCTTTTATACCCTAAAAATAATCTGTAAGATTTCTTTGAAAAATGAGGGTTTTAAAAATCTAAACATGGCGAAAATATATGGACTGGTTTGTGTTTGTATCTACTATAAATAAAGAAGGTTCAGAGTAACCTATAGTACCTATAAATCCTTTTTCATTCAAGTTTTCTGTGCGTAAAGAAGGAAATTTTAGGAGTGTCCAGACCGGACACACTGTGCCGCAAAGGGTTAAAAATTTCTTTTAGTCTAATACGGAAATGACTTAGGGAGATTTGGTATGAGTAACAGTTATGCATTTAAGCGGGTTTTTTTCAATTCCTCTATTCTGACTTCTGTATTCTATATACTATATCGTGTGCCTTTCAGAAGACTTAAATTTTTAGATTAATTTTATGTTAAATGCAAAGAAATGCATACTGCACACTTTATTTCATATGTATTATGAATATATCTCTTATTTAGTTTTAGATAAGATATCTACTACTCTATTTTATAATAAAGTCTTACATCAATTAATGGCAAATACATGTGTGCATTACATAAATATTCACAGCTGCGCAACAACATAAGCACAGTACAACTCAAACAACAGTCCAATAAATAAGAATATACTGAGACACGAACAAGAGTCTACACCGTCATTGTAATTGCCTTTAAAGCACGCATAGGGATTTGAAGTTTCAGGTTTCAGATAAATAAGTCAATACACAATTCCATATGGTGCAGTTTTGCGCGAAAACTAGCTCGATAGTTTAAGTGATCTGTTAAAACTTTGATATATTTCCTGCTGCTCATAGTATAAGTGAGTTAGCAACTGCAAGTGAGTTGGCAGTTAGCAACTGCAAGATCTGTGTTTTAAACTCAGCGAGGATGCATTTCATTCTTCATTTAATTCTTTTCATTCATTTAATTCTTTTCTCTCTAAGCCTAATAGTCTCTAGAAATTTATCAAGCATGCGCAAGGTGATACCTTACAAGGAAGGAAGTTATTTTAATATTTTGTATTCTCCCTCATAGTACTAGATTGTTGAAGAGGAAATTACACAAATCCTTAAAAATCAAATGCATTTCTTCCGAGAATTGACTCTATTCTTCGAAATGTCAGTTACATGTTTTGACCACTATATTACGATATCACACAGAATAAATATCTTTTGATTCCTAAGAAGATTCTTGTTAACAGCGTTAATTATCACAAATCAAATTTTGTCAAATTGAAAATCCTCATGCACTGTAGTTGCATTACTGTGAAGGTCTCAAATGTTCTGTCATATTATGCTTACAATTTTTTCCATTATGCCTGTTTATATGTAAATTTGTTACGTCTCTATATATTATACACATTATTTAAAAATAGTAAAAAACATACCGTAGATTCGATACTGTAGAACATACTGTATGATTCGCTTGACTGTATTATAGAATAATAGCATCATTTATGATTATTTGCTTTGCTATCAAAGAGAGTCTTTCCTAACCCTCTTATTGCAGTCGGAATATTTTCTGTGATAAAAGAATGAAGAGTTAGAGAATCTGAGAGTCCTTTCCATAAGTTATCTCTATTTCCTTAAAAATATAAATATAACATCCTATTCATTTAATTGGTCCCTTATTCTACTTTTTCGAGATATTTCGATTTGTAGACGTCATTAAAATTACTTCAGCTTTTCTTTAAATTTACTGCGATGATGAAAAAGCATTTGGGAGTTGAAAAAATGCCTATTTTTGTATTATATTCAAATTCAGAATCCAAATAATGATTATTTGTGGGGAATTTTATGTAATTTGTCCCTTTTTTAAATATGCCAGGTTGAACTAATTTACATTAAGCAAAGATGTAGAGGATCTATTGCGCGAACCATTTCAAAAATTAAACAACCCTAAAACATTGAATTCCTGCTGAAGATTCTTTTTAGAGCATTTTTCAATTCCTGAGTTTCGGAGGACAATGTTCTACACTATCGATCGTAAAGCGGGTGGTTGGGCACCAGAAGGAACAAAAAGCAGAATATGGGGGTGGGGCAAATGAGACAGAGTTCGATATACGACACTCCTGACAGTACTTTTGATGTCTCCTTCCTGTTGCTGACGCGGAAGGGGACTAAATGTGAGCGTACCTCTGGGACTCACTGACCCACCTCCTCTGTCTGCTTCTTGTCAAGGTACTTTGCCAAAAGAATAATTTGAGAGAAAGAGCCGTTCTCTTTCTGCAGAACCTGCTGTTAAAGTATTATTTGGTGATCACTATGCTGTCCTTTTTATTGTTCAAAGGAACAGAAAAGAATCTTTCAGTCTAAAAGAAACTTTTATGCTTCAATTAAAAGATGAAGTACTTGTCATTCATACAACGACGGTCTTTATGATTGATAGCTAAAATGGCTTACGAAAAGTAATATATAATATATATATATATATATTTCATTTAACTGAATTGCCTTCACATTTATTCTATTTGATATCTCTTCTTTTGCATTTGTAACAGATATCAGACTTCTGAGACTTCAGAGAAAAAGAAATGAAAAGTACCTCGAATTTGGTAACTGTTTTCCTTTCCCAAATCAAGCGACGTACTTTTTTCCCTCTCTGTGCTTCTTTTCTTTTCCTTCTCTCTTTTTTTTTTTTTTTTTTTTTTTTTTTCTGATTTAGTTCTAGTTTTATGAGATTTGCATATGAATGCATATGCTCATTTTCTAAAAATTTTAGGAGCAATTTAATTACGATGAGTAGATAAATGCTTATTTTTTCTGATCTAAAATTGCTGAAACTATTGCTTTAATTATTGTATTACATTTTTATATCTAAGGGCAATAATTATATACCATGAAAAATGTACTAAAGTAATTAAGTGTCCTTAACGTAAATTAAGGATATATTGAAATTATGAGTTCACTTTGGGTATTTATTTCACACCAATTAGCTTATAAAAGTAGATTAAAATACTCGGGAACATTACGGACTGAAACTAAAGGTATAAACACTCACGAAATAAAGTACTGCTCCATTTTTTTTCAAAATCTGAATGATAAATAAATAATGGTAAAATTAAACAATTAAAGCCTTGAATAAAATGTTTATACAAAGAGCATATCTCAAAAAATATTTAAAAAATTTGAAACCTTTCAGATTTTACATTACGCACAAAGGAGCATTTCTTCCACTGTGTCAGAATATCTAATATTCTGACACAGTTGCTCAGGATGCAAAACATCTGGTGTACAGTCAAACATCAACGAAAATTACTTCACTTTTTTTTTTATCCTAGAACGAATTTCAAATCGAACAGGATTACCTAAGATTAATATAAATTCATCTTGTACTTTATTAGACAGCTAAGAAACGGATTTCTTTCTGTGATTAGCTATATGATCGGCAATATGTCTATCATAATGATTTATTGATTCAATTAAATTTAGGAACATTCCTGCACTTGAACTGCCATCATGCTTAAATCTAAAAAGTAAATTGTGCTTTGTACAAAGCAAAATGATGTCTAATATAACGCATAAATTATGTCGCCACTTTTCTTTTTCTGATTCTACTGCTTTATGCAAGGAATCATGTATAAAACCACCTCCTTTATTTTTTTTTCAAAGCAATCCCATTGAACATTAAAGCATCACGATGAAACATAGAATTTTCGTGATCGGAAATTCAATTTAAATTTTTCGAATCTTTGAAACCTCTTTTTAGATTGTAAATAGTAGAACGTGGCTTACTTTTAGTAAAAAGAATGCATGAAAAACAGAATAACGGCAGAGATCTTTTTGAATAAATAAGCCAATTTCAATGTATTACCTCCCCATTAGAACACTTCTTAAAACACCATTCTCTAGAAAATCATCTGCCATCCTCTGAAGTAGACTCCCTGAAAGCAGCATCTTGTCCTTGATCTGGTCCATCTTCTATTAAGAAAAATTTTATTTTGTCTGAAATTATTGGCCAAGATGGAGGATCATTGAAGTTAATCAGTTTAATGGTTATTATTAATCAATTTAATTTAAATTATCCTCCTCGTTCCCCGATCCTAAAAGTAAGACAATTTACCAAAAACCCGAAGGAGGTGTGACAGAAAAACTACCAAACTTCTTCCTGGAATTGAAAAGAAGTGATGCCGGTAGCGCCATATTCAATGTGAATAATATGTTCAGCATCAATATAAGAACTGAGAAGTTTGCCCCCAAGAAGCGTTGGACGCAATGTTATAAATGTCAGGAATACGGCCACACACAGCACTTATGCAAATATCAGGAAAGATGTTGTAAATGCGGAGACAACCACAGCGCCAAGTTATGCCCCCCAAAACCCGAAGACCTGCATTTTTTTGCGGACTAGGACATGTTAGCAGTTACCGTAGATGCAAAGCCTACCAGGAAAAGTTTGAAAGAAAGGAAAAGAAAAGGCTCCCATCCCCATACCTAACGGATAAGGAATTCCCAAGTCTAAGCATCTCGAGTGAAAATGAAGCAAGTTCAGAGGCAAAGAATGGAACCAGTGACAAAGTAAAGGGAAGAAGACTCAATGTCCCAAGAGAAGCAAGCGAAGCCATTAACTGGCTCCAAGATGAGAAAATACAGGATTTCCTAAGCAATATCATCATGCACATAGACAAAATCAAGAAAGCAAGGGAAATTGCAGATAAATTATCCGTAGGCTTCAAGGCAGCGATGTACTTCATTAGAATTGCAGATCAAGCAGATTAAGCAGCTACACCCATGAACTGATGGAAAATGGAGAACTCTTTCTAAATTCTTTATTTCCTTACAGGAGACCTTCAATACCTACCAATAGATGGAGCCACAGAAAAGTGAGGCTAAGCCTAACTTCAGATTCTGAGTCTATTTACGGGACGCATATAAGCAAAATGTACACTGCTAGGACAAAGGCTTGAATTTGGCCAATGACAATCCAGATTAGGGTTTCTATTAACTCTGCCCACATGAGTGATGTCATATTTCTGACGTTTGTTTACATTCTACTGTTCGGAGCTTCAAAGTGCGTTCTTGAATGTTTATTTAGTTTTTCGGAATAAAAGTGTTTATATATACGCGTATATATCTGTATATAACGATTTAATGTTTACTTCGGAATATTAAGGATTACTCTACTGTTCCAATATAAAATTAGATCTAGTCAGATGGAAGTTACTGATGGCTGGAAGATGCATGTAAAGTGTAGTTTACAAATTATTCTGCGTATTGATAATAAGATATTTTTAAGTGATAATGACTTAAATCATCTAGTATATAAAATGTACCTGCGGGAATTAAACCAAGTTAATACTAAGTTAGTGAATCCAAGTGCTATTTTGCGTCAGTAATTAATGCAGTAAATATTTTGAATCAAAATGCCACCAGTAACTATTGCAATGAATTAACATACTGTGTCAAGAAATCCTTAAAATACATTTCATATATATCTATCTGAATATTTACAGCATTATTAACTGTGCTTTGATTAAGAAATCAAAATGCTTTACTGGATTCAATATGCTTTCTTAGAAATAAACTTATTTCATTATTAGAACTCATTTCATTATTAGAACGTAAAGAGTATAAAGATAAAAAGTGTGTCTGTTCTAATGAACATATTGAAATATAATTTAGTTGTGAAACTACTGAAGTTAAATGATGAACATGTTATTTAATAAGAACTGAATATATTTTAGATAAATTTTAGTTTAATAGGACCGAGGGCCAGACCACCAGCACCCGAGTGGTAAAGTCACTGAATACTAGATATTCAGTCCAGGGTTCAAATCTTGCAGAAAGCGCTGGCTGCATGGGTGCTTTCGTGGTTTTCCTCAAGTATAATATGTTTAAGAGCCAGTTTCCCTTTGAAAGTCCTCCACGAAAACATCCCTCCTGTTAAGCAGATAGCACTCGACTGCTTTGCATAATTAAATAAACCAAACCAAACCAAGGGCAAAAAAATCACTAAACCAAGGGCAAATCACGCTACTTGGCCAGTCATATGGATAATATGTAAGAACCTAAAACAGTATTAAAATTAATACACTGCATTTTTGTGGATGCCAATGGCCTCGTATTTAGCACACATTTCTAATTAGCATCTATGATCCCCAAAGCCTTTCATCATTTGAGAAAAGGATCTTTTGTCAAACTTGTGACTATCATACATTTTTCTGGTGGAATTGAAACTGTGTAACTTCACGTTCTCTTAAGTCAGGGATGAATATTCCATAACATGTGAAGAAAACATATATTTATTTTCTCATATGTTGAACGTTTTTTTTTTTCAGTATTATACTCAAATATAAGACTTCATGCTATATTTAAAGTTTATATATATCAATATACCAGAGCCTGATCTTTACATTAAAAAAATCACATCACAGGAAACTAAATTTGAGATTAAGATTACATGCATGATATTCAAAATTTATATAATTTTAATTCCAGCTTCAACGTTATTCATTTCCTAGATTAAATCTTCACATGGACTATTTAGATATGTTATGTCCTACACTTAGAAAACACTTCCTTCCCTGCAAAAAAAGGGGCCCACCAGAATTGAGAAGTAATGTCGCTGAACACTGGTAGTTCGGTCTGAGGTTCGAATCCCGCGAACAGGCTGGCTGCACGGACGTTTTCGTGGTTTCCCCCATGTGTAACGTGTATACAAGCCAGTTTCCCTTAGAAAGTCCTCCATGAAGGCATCCCTCTGCTTAGGCAGATAGCCCTCGAGGCATTGCCATAAATCACATAAACCAAATCAAACCCTGCAAAAAAGTTAGGAACAGATTATCATTTTAACACAGTAAACCTTTTCTTTGTGATCACTTCTGAAACTGACTACTTCTACTCAATATACAAATTGTGGTACTGAACATCTTCTCCTTGAAATAACAAGCTCTATACAAAATTTAAATTATGTAGAACTGCTGGTGGTCATCTTAGAGAGGATTCACTGTATTTATTAAAGGTCAGAATATCGTTCAACTATTCCTAAAAATGCAAATTAATCAACAAAATCTGAAATTGTTAAGTACTTTATTTCTGTAAGCATAATTAATAACAACTTCCGAGTTTGATTTAGTGTGTATGATGACAGTTTATTACATTAATGAATGGCATTTGCTTGACAGCTATGAAGAATTTCTTTTGAGGAGCTGTTTTTCTTCGAGGGTTGGTTTGGTTTGTTTGATTATGGAAGCATGCAAGGTCTATGTGGGAGGGATGTCTTTGTGGAGGATTTTCTAAGAGGAAAAACTCTCATATCCATGTTACACATGGAAAATGGAAAACCAGTAAGTGCTCATGCAGCCAGCCTGTCCAACTGGAATCAAACTCAAATCGAACTATCAGCGTTCCAGTCACTTTTCCGCTCAGCCGCTTTTGGGCTGTGTGTGGTGGGCCATAATTACATGCACTGAAAACTGAATTGTAAACTAAATGCATAAAGAAAGCAATGGAAATTAACTTATCAACACTAGTTCTTATTAAATTAAAATACTGCATAAAATAAATTTATAGAGCTATTGAATGAAAATTTTCTGTTAACATGTTTAAGACATGTGTAAGGAGTAACAGATTAATTATTTCTAATATTATTAAATAATTTTCTTATAAAGGAATTATAAAAACAAACAAAAGCTTCTTTAGAGAAATTATTCTACTATTAAAAAAAATCATATACTACTGGAATTAACTCACTTTATCCAAAATTAAATAAATGCATTTTAAAGTGATAAATCAAGTTGTGCAGAAATATTAAATATGAATACAATCATCTTAATTATTTAAAAAAACTGAATGTGAAGATGTGAAAAATTAAGAGAAATAAGCTTTTTAGATTATTTGCTAGAAATCTGACATTCTGAAAAATGAATACACGCATACACACACCATCACTCATATTTATATGCATACACACGCATATTGATAAATTAACATATGATTATATATTGAAAATATCTATATGTATGCATACGTGTGTACGCATGCATATAGAGAGAAATTTCGTAAAGTTTGAGACAAATTTATATTCCTTCTGTAACAGTAAGGAAATAATACTTTAAAGGAAAATTTAGAAAATAGTATCACTAGAACAAATTTACATTGCAGAGTAAAAATGTTTTTCATTCAAACAACGCACTTCCTCACGCCGAATAGCAGAATGTAAACAAACGTCAGAAATGTGACATCACTCATGTGGGCGGAGTTAATGGTGGCCCTTATCTGGATTGCCATTGACCAAAATCAAGCGGTTGTCCTAGCAGTGTACATTTTGCTTTAATATTAAAGAACCTTGCATTTTGCTTATATGTGCTTACGGGACGACCCATAGAATGGACGACCCACGTTAAGCCTTGTTCACCAGTTCGACGGCCTTTCCAGACTTATCGCTACTAGTACTTAGCTGATTTTTAATCGTTCGTATACATTAATTCTTTCAGCTTTCCTCTTCTCATCATCTTAAATAACTTTTACTTCAAAGTGTTTTAGAAATTTCTTGCTAAGCAAATATGTCCTAGAAAAATTGATAGGTAATTTCTGTCAACAATCGAAACTTTTAAAATGTTCTACAAGGGGTAGGGCCTTCGGCCCAGGTACCCAGGTGTCTCGACGTACCATTCCACTGGAGTTACACTGGTGACTGGTATGTTATGGTTACCAGCGTTCATTGAACTGTCAAAGCTTCAAGGCTGTGCAATAAATCTAGATGAATTCTTAAATTAAATGAAAATGAAGGACAACATTGTTCATAGAGGAAGAATATCGCTGACTGTGAAATACAAAAATAAAAAAAAAAAAAAAAATAGTGATCATCAAGGTATTAATGACGTTTGGATTTTCAATATCCGGCGTACGACAGCAAATTTTGATTACTTGCTCAAATTATATGAAGGCGAAAGATAGCGTTGATCGTAACTCCCAACTAT